ACATTGTGTCAAGGAAGTGAATATTTTCCCTAATTTTGGCTGTATCAACAATTGTTCATATTGTTTTTTAATATGTACTTCTTGTAGGCAGATTATATCAAATTTTAATTTCTCTAATTTATGAAAGATTTTCCTTCTTTTAACGGCTGAGTTAAGTCCATTTATATTCATTGTAATCAATTTTTTCTCTTCCATGGTTATATTTTGTAATTAGGTTTAACAGCTCTCGTGGATCTTGGTTCACGTTGTTCTTTAGCTTCCTCCTTTCCACCTACTGCACCTTCTTCTTTTTCAGTCGTCATTTGGGAGTCCTCTTGGAATTCAATTAGTGAAATTTCTTTTTCTGCCTCTTCCTCCCCTCTAAAAAATTCTGTGTAGAATGATTCAGCTTTCTCAATTGAGTCAATTCTATATCTCTGTTCTTGCCATGTAAACATTAAACCTTCTGGAATCAGCCATCTATAATTCACCTCTTTTTTAAGTAATAATTTGGTCAAGAATCGGTATTTCCTTCTCATCTCTCTCACTCTTCTGGGTACTTGTTTCAAGACCACAATCTCCTGATCTTTGTATTTCAATGTTTTCTCTCTTGCCACTTGCAATATTTGCGTTTTAATGGCTTTCTTCGTAAATCTGATGTGAACTTCTCTTGGTAAGCTATTTCTCATCGCATATCTTGTGAAGATTCAATAAACCTCATCTATTCCATCCATTATCTTCTCTTCAGTTATTTCCAAAGCTTCAGCCAATATTTCTTTCATTATCTCAGCTAGATTTTGTCCTTTTTCTTCCTCTATGTTTTGGAATCTAAGATAAAATTCTGATCTGTCCATCTCCCATCTCAGCATACCACTTTTATCTTGTTCAACCACAGTTAATCTGTTATCAATGTCTCCAATCTTCTTGTCTCTTTATCTTCTTCTTCAATTTTTTGGAGTCTCTCATCATACTTCATCATCATTTGTTGGATGTTCTCCACTTTTTCATCGGTTTTCCCTGTTCTTTGTTCAATGTTCTCTGTTCTTTGTTCAATGTTCTCTATTCTCTTTTCAATATTCTCTGATCTTGTTTGAATATTTTGAATTCCTTGCATAATCATCTGCAGGGTCACTTTTTCTTGTTCTTTTTCTTGCCTTAATATTGTCTGTATTGAACGTTGTCCTCCAGATGGTGGAGAGGAAGAAGTGGAAGTTGAAGAACCAGGAGCTGTTAACAGCTCCTGGTTCTATCCTAATGATTTTTATTAACCGTTTCCTAATATGACTTGATTGCTTAATGTACCCTATGACTATTATTAAGTGTTGTACCTCATGACTCTTGACGAATGTCTCTTCGCTTTTACATACACTGAGAGTATTTGCACCAAGACAAATTCCTTGTGTGTCCAATCACCCTCGCCCAATAAAGAATACTATTTTATTATTCTAAACTGTGGCAAGAAAGCTCACACAATGGGGCAAAACTCACTAAGCAAATGCCTCACTTAACAACAGAAATGTTGGGCTATATTGGGATCATAAGTTGAGGACTACTTGCATAGGGTAAAATAAAACCTACGAGGGACAGAATATTTATTTTAAAGTGTCTGTGTGCATGGCAGGGGGAAGGAATACAAGATTTAACTCCCACTTCTTGATCATCTGTTTACTTCTTGCAAACTATCTTCTTCCTTATAAACTTATATGCACCGGTAAGTTAAAATCCCTCCTGAATTTTAAGATGCTATTAACATGAATGCCTTGTTACCTCCCTTGTAATGCTTTACAGACTGGAAAAGGGGATTGTTTTAAATTCCTTGACCCCAAGATTCAATTTCCAGAAACCAAACCTCAGCAGGATTAGAATAGTGCTATCTTATTTTTAGGATACAGGATGCTTTTGTTGCCCCCTAGCTCAGATATTTTCTGTAAGGAAAGCTAAGCTTTTTGTGCTTGGCGTTCATATCAGCATGGGAGGAAGACTTAAAATAGGAGTCCTTTGAAAGCAGGTTAGACTGGAACAGTGTTATTTGTGGTTGTGATTGCACCGCTCCCTTTCTCGTCTGACACTTATGCAAAATTGGATTATTTTTTTCAGCCCAAGGCTGGAAACTAAAGTTTTAGAGGGAAAGGGTTCAAGGCAAAGAATTTAGGTCAGGGGTCTCCAACCTTGGCAACTTTAAGACTGGTGGACTTCAACTCACAGAGTTCCTCAGCCAGCTATGCTGGCTGGAGAATTCTAGGAGTTGAAGTCTACAAGTCTTTTTTTTTTTTTAATAAAATTTTATTGGTTTTTAAAACAAACATAAACAAACAAAACATAAAAACATCAAATCATCTTCCATATATGTAGATACAGTGTGCCAGTTGGTTTACAAATTGTTTTGTGCTTCCATTTCATAGTCTTCAATTATAATTACATTGTATATAATCTCGTATTTTCAATCAATATATTAAATACATTAATATCATTATTAATCAATCATTTGACTATACTTTTATTCATTCATGTTTTCCAAAATGATCATATTTTACTTAATTTGTTTTATGACAATTCATATTATCATCCCAGATCTATCCTAGAATCATTTTGTAGATATAATAAGAAAAGAATACATCTTTATATATTTATTATTTTCTAAAAGTCTACATATTTCATTACTATATTTTATTGTCTAACCATTGATAGAATAGATCCCAAATTTTATAAAATTGTTTATCATCTTGTTCTCTAATTTCAAATGTCAATCTACTCATTTCAGCACATTCCAATATTTTCTTAATGATTTCCTCCTGTGATGGTATTTTCTCATTTTTCCAGTTTTTAGCAAATACAATCCTAGCCGCTGTTAATACATTTACAATCAGGTATTTCAAGTCTTTACTATATATTTCAGGTAAAATTCCCAATAAAAATATTTCTGGTTTCAAATCTATATGCTTTTTGGTCATTTTTTCCAACCACGTGTGGATTTTAGTCCAGTATTTTTTAGCATCTGCACAAGTCCACCACATATGGTAATATGAGCCAGGTATCGGATGACATTTCCAACATTTTTCGGATTTATTCTTGAACATTCTTGCTATTCTTGTCGGGGGGAAAGTGCCACCTCTTATATCTTATACAAATTTTCTTTATATGCTGTTGACATTGTCTACAAGTCTTAAAGTTGCCAAGTTTGGGAATTCTAGGAGTTGAAGCCCACAAGTCTTCAAGTTGCCAAGGTTGGAGATCCATGCTTTCGGTCATTCTCTAGATGTGTAGCTGTCCTAGAACACCACAGGCTAACTATGACACCTTACGACCTGTGGACTTCAACTCCCAGAATTCCTGATTCCAGCAATTCTGGGAGCTGAAGTCCACAAGTCTTCAAGTTGCCAAATTTGGGGACCCCTGATTTAGAGGGAGGGTTTAAAAAAAAAGAATGAAAGATAAAAAGTCCTAGTTATATTTATCCTCATGGATTTGGGCTTAATATAGACCTCCATCCATGATTTTCCAGGTGCAGAGTGGGAGGCAGAGATATTATTTAATACGGACATTGAAACCAGTCTCTCTCTCTCTCTCTCATGGCCATCTTTAACCACTTTTCAGGCACCCCGGTACATTTGTGGGGTGTTTTGGAAATGGGATCACTGCTTGGTGGCCTATCCGGGCTGGATAAAAGGCTACTGGGCCTCCTCTCCGGTTGCCACTAAACGTGCTTGCCAAGTGATGGGACTTGCAGTCCAGCCCTAGAGGATCATCCGCAATAAGCCCTCCAGAAGGCAGTCAACTGCTCAGATAAAAACCGCAAGGGCAACCATCTAAATGAGTAAAATAAGCACACCCTCTTTTCCTCTTTCCACCCAGATGGGGCATAGGGAAGCAGGAGAGAATGCAGCCTCCAAGGTTCAAATTCACGGAGGACCACCTGGGCCAACCTACCTCCCATGGATCAAATAGGAGTGGGGGGGACTCTTAAAAGACCCTTCAAAGGGATGAATAAACGCATGCATCTTTTCTTCCTCTTCCTCCTCCCCTTTTTTTCTTCTTCTTCTTCTCCTTCTCCTCCTCCTCACCTTTCTCCTTTGATTGGAGTTTCCCCCCCTTTGCAAAACTCTAAGCAAACCTAAACCGAGTCTTCTTTCTTTCCTTCTTCTGCTTCCCTCCTTTTTCTCATCTTTCCCCTTCCTTTTGACTTTCCCTTTTGCAAAATCTCAGCAAGCATAACTAAAGACACTTTCCTTCTTTTTCTTTCCTTGTCCTTCCTTCTTCTTCTTCTTCTTTTTCCTATCAGTTCCTCTCGATGGGCCTTTTCCCCATTTGCAAAACTCTTAGCCAACCTAATATAATAATAGTAATAAAACAAACAAAAAACCCACATTCTTTCTTTCTTTGAACTTTGTCCATCTTCTTTGTTTTCTGGTTTCCTCACAATTTGACTTTCCCCCTTATCAAGTAAGTAGGTAGGTAGATAAGTAAGTAAGTAAAGTAAGTAACTAAAATAAGTAAGGTAAGTAAGTAAAGTAAGTAAGTAGGTAAAGTAAGTAAGTAAAGTGTAGTAAAGTAAATAAGGCAGGTAAGTAAGTAAAGTAAGTAAAATAAGTAAGGTAAGTAAAGTCAGGTGAGTAAGGTAAGTAAATAAAGTAAGTTACGTAGGTAAGTAAGTAAAGTAAGTAAAATAAGTAAGGTAAGTAAAGTAAGTAAAGTAAGCAAAGTAAGCAAGTAAATAAGGTAAGTAACTAAGTAAAATAAGTAACTAAGAAAAGTAAGTAAAGTAAGCAAAGTAAGTAAGTAAAATAAGTAAGGTAAGTAAAGTAAGGTGAGTAAGGTAAGTAAATAAAGTTAAGTAAGTAAGTAAGTAAAATAAGTAACTAAGCAAAGTAAGCAAAGTAAGCAAGGTAAGTAAGTAAAATAAGTAAGTAAAGTAAAGAAATAAATAATCAATCAACCGCCCCACCACCCCCTTCCCGTTTCTTACGGGGCGCCCCGCAGACCCTGGAGGAGGCGGGGTGGGGTCCTCCTTCGCCCTCCCTTACCTCCCTGCGGCGGATGCGCCCGGCCAGCTCCCGGGCGGAAAGGAAGAGCAGCGGCTGGTCGGGCGGCGGGACGGCGCGCCGCGCAAGGCGCGATCCCCGGGGCCCTTTGCCTTTCCAGCGCAGCAGGGCGGAGACGCCGAGCGCCAGGCTGAGCAGCGCCAGGAAGGCGCGCGAGAAGCAGCGCAGCACCTGCACCAGGCAGCGCTCGGCACGGCTCAGCGCCATAGCCCGCCGTTGCTTTGCCGGTCTCTGCGGTGAAGAAAAGGCAGCGAGGGAAGGCAGCCCGGTGGGCAGGGCGAGGAGGGCGGGGAAGCTGCGGGAGAAAGAGGCGGGGGGAGAGCTCGGCGGAAGGCCGGGACCCGGTTAACCCTTGCAAGGGAGGCAAACGCCGGCCGGGATGGATGCCCGGCGTTGCGCATCGAATGGGGATTTTGAGCGGCGGCCCCTTTAAGAGGGGGGGGGGGAGTTGTGGACTTCAACTCCCAGGATTCAGCTGGGAATGGGGCATCCTGGGAGTTGAAGTCCGCCCTTCTTAAAGGGGCCGCGGTTGAGAAAGTAGAGTAAGAGAATACACCAACACAAAGGCAGAGGTAGACTCCGGCATTATGGCATTGTGGAGTGTGGATTCTGAGCTGCTTGAAGAGGGGTGGGCTTCAACTCCCAGGATTCAACTGGGAATGGGGCATCCTGGGAGTTGAAGTCCGCCCTTCTTAAAGGGGCCACGGTTGAGAAAGTAGAGTAAGAGAATACACCAACACAAAGGCAGAGGTAGACTCCAGCATTATGGCATTGTGGCGTGTGGATTCTGAGCTGCTTGAAGAGGGGTGGGCTTCAACTCCCAGGATTCAACTGGGAATGGGGCATCCTGGGAGTTGAAGTCCACCCTTTTTAAAGGGGCCGTGGTTGAGAAAGGAGGAGAAGAAGAGAATGCAAGCAACACAGATGATAATGCACACACAAAAAAAGACTTGAAATGTTAGTAAGGTGACCAAACGTCCTCCTGTAGAGAGGACAGTCCTCCTTTTGTAAATTCTGTCCTCCCTCGAGAAGTGTCCTCCCACATGTCCTCCTTTTTGATATTTGAAGGCTAATCTGTAAATCTCCGTATTTGATCGATGCCGATCAGATCTGTTATGTGTGATGTAACATATTTGCATTTGATATGGCGATTCGTCAAGGCTCGGTACAGTGTGGCAAGACGCGATTATGAGACACATGCGCTCCACACAGAATAATTGTTTTGAGAGAGTGTGCTGCACGCAAGTGGCTTTGTTTTTTTTCTTCAATGTATTTGTGTCCTCCTTTTCATTGTAAAAAAGTTGGTCACCTTAATGTTAGGCTTAGACAACTTAGAACTACGCCCTAAGCGTAGAACATAAAATTATCCATTGCAAAGCCCTACCCATCAATGACTACTTCAGCTTCAACCACAACAATACACGAGCACACAATAGATACAAACTCAGGGTAAACTGCACCAAAACAGACTTCAGCAACAGAGTGGTCAATGCCTGGAATGCACTACCTGACTCTGTGGTTTCTTCCCCAAACCCCAAAAACTTTAACCTCAGACTGTCTACTGTTGACCTCATTCCATTCCTAAGAGGTCTGTAAGGGGCGTGCATAAGCGCACCAACACACCTAGCGTCCCTGTCCTAATGTTCCGTTTTATTCTTATCCAGTTCCTGTATTAATGATCATGTTTATACTTATATCTGTTATCTACATGCTCAATAAATAAATAAATAAATAAATAAATAAATAATAAAAATTAAATAAATAAATCCCAAAAGGGTTTTTTTCATTTATTTATTTAATTTAATTTATTTGTCAAAAGCTTACAGTATAACAGAAACAAAAATAAACATAAATTTAAATATAAGAAATAGGAACTAATAATTGGGGACAATAGGACAGGGACGATAGGCACGATTGTGTGCTTATGCACGCCCCTTCCAGACCTCTTAGGAATGGGATGAGGTCGATAGAGGTTAGTTTGAGGGTAAAAGAGTGGAGGTTTGAACAGGTGACAACAGAATCAGGTAGTGAGTTCCAGACATTGACCACTCTGTTGCTGAAATCATACTTCCTGCAATCCAGTTTGGAGTGGTTTACATTTAGTTTATATCTGTTGTGCGCTCTCGTGTTGTTGTTAAAGCTGAAATATTCATTAACTGGTAAGATGTAACGTATGATTTTATGTACTATGCTTTTTTTTTTTTTTTTGATGAAAGTTTTATTGATTTTAACAACAAAAAACACATAAAACATAAAACATAACATAAAAACATCATCATTCTTCATAAATTTACAGACAGTGTATCGGTTGGTTTACCACTCCTTTTTGTGCATCCATTTCATACTCATCATAATAATTATGTTACATAATAACTCATCAATCAACAATTATATATCCTAATATCATTATTAAACAATCATTTGACTATAATTTTACTAATTCATACTTAAGCGAGATAACTATAATTTAGTTAATTTATTTTATAACAGATTGTAAAATCATACCAAGTCTATCTTAATAAAACATTCTAAAGATGTTATCAAAACCAAAAAAAAAATGTATATTCATTATTTCCTAGGTTACTAAATATTCTATTATTATATTGTATTATTATTGCATTGGTAAAAAAGATCCCAAACTTCATAAAATTGTTTATCTTCTTGTTCTCTAATTTCAAATGTCAATCTACTCATTTCAGCACATTCCAGTATTTTCTTAATAATTTCTTCCTCTAATGGATTTTATGTACTATGCTTAAGTCCAATCTTAGCCGGCGTAGTTCAAGATTGTCTAAGCCTAGAATCTCAAGTCTGGTGCTGTAGTAGGGTATTCTGTTGCAAACAGAGGAATGTAGTACTCTTCTGGTAAAATACTTCTGGACTCGCTCAGTTGTATTCATGTCTGATATACAGTGCTGATTCCAGACAGCGGAGCTGAATTCAAGTATTAGTCTAGCAAAGGTTTTGAATGCCCTAGTTTGCAAATCAGTATTACCAGATGAGAAGCTTCAAATAAATTTACAACTTTTAAAGCCTTTTTGGCAATACTGTTGCAGTGAGCTTTGGCATTTAGGTCATTTAATAGGAGAACTCCAAGGTCCTTGATAGAGTGAGTGTCATCAACAAGGTCATATCCACCTAGCTTATATTTGTTATATAGATTTTTTTTTTTTACCAATGTGTACGACAGAGCATTTGTTGGTAGAGAGGCAAAACTGGACTTTCTGGTTTTTCTTCTTTTCTTCAGAGCAGAAGAAGCTTGAGAAGCAAAACTTCTTCAAAGAAAAACCAGAAAGTCCAGTTGCCTCCTTGAAAGAAAGAAAGAAAAAAAAACCCTTTGGGACAACCATGATCTGGAGGACTGAGAATCTCCATAAGCACACCAATATACCAAGGCAGGGGGTAGACTCTGAGCGGCTGCCTCTTTAAGACGGGGTGGGGGTGGGGGTGGATTCCAACTCCCAGGATTCAACTGGGAATGGGGCATTCTGGGAGTTGAAGTCCGCCTTTCTTAAAGGGGCCACGGTTGAGAAAGTAGAATAAGAGAATACACCAACACAAAGGCAGAGGTAGACTCCGGCATTATGCATCGACTGTGGATTCTGAGCTGCGGTGTCTTGAAGAGGGGTGAGCTTCAACTCCCAAGATTCAACTGCTGGGAGGTTGGCTGGGGCATTCTGGGAGTTGAAGTCTTCCCTTCTTAAAGGCCATGGTTGAGAAAGCAGGATAACAAGAGTGGAATGTTTTTGAAGGCCTTCTTTCTAGTTCAACACCTTGCTCAAGAAGGAAATCCTATACTATGTCAGACAAATGGTTATCCAATCTCTTCTTAAAATCTCTTCCAGTGTTGGAGCATTGACAACTTCTAGAGGCAAGCTGTTCCGCTGGTTTAATTATTCTCACTGTCGGGAAGTTTCTCCTTAATTCCAGGTGGCTTCTCTCCTTGAATAGTTTCCACCCATTACTTCTTGTCCTGCCTTCAGGTGCTTTGAAGAATAGGTTGACTCCCTCTTCTTTGGGACATTGGAAAACTGCTGTCATATTACCCTTAATCCTTCTTTTCATTAAACTAGACCATTAAACTGCCTGGACAAGATTTCAGAAGTGGTTTGTCATTGCCTCCTTCCCAGGGCTGACAGAGAAAGACTGGCCCAAGGTCAGCTGGCTGGCCTTAGGGTAGTGGCTCTGGGTCTCTGGGAGGTGGAGCTGCAGCACATGGAAATGTAGGCATTTTAAATAAAATGGGTTATCTGGAAAGCTGGTTTGGTGGAGTGGTTAAGGCCAGCAGGTTTCATCCAGGGGTGGGATTCCATTTTTTTAACAACCGGTTCTGTGGGCGTGGCTTAGTTGGTAGGCATGGCTTGGTGGTCATGTGACTGGCTGGGTGTGGTCAACTCAACATCACTCACATCGAGGCACGCATCTCCTCTCCTGCCCGCTCATGACTGTGGGGATGCTGCAACAGTCGTAAGTGTGAAAAACGGTCATAAGTCACTTTTTTCAGTGCCATTGTAACTTTGAATGGTCACTCCACACAAGCAAAGTCCCAGCAAAGGAGGGAAAAATAACTCCAGAGAAGTTCCAGAGACAGGAAGTCTAGTCCTGCCAAGAATGGAATAAGGGTTAACGGAGAGGCAGTTTCTGTAAGCGACAGCAGAATGTTTCCTTCCTGCCTTCCTTACAGGATTAGGCCAGTAATTTCTTCCAACAACTGATTCTCCGAACTGCTTAGAATGTTAACAACCGGTTCTAGCGAATAGGTGCGAACCGGTAGAATCCCACCCCTGGTTTCATCCGTGTTTTAGTTGTGCTTTATTACAAAGCCAGCTGGCTGACCTTGGGCCAGTTTCTGTCTGTCAGTCCTGGGAAGGAAGCAATGGAAAACCACTTTTGAAATCTTGTCTAGGCAGTTACCATAAATTAAAACTGGCTGGCTGGCTGGCTGGTTGGCTGGGAAATTGTGGAATCTTAAAATTGCAAAGGTTGAGAAACACAGCCCTGGCCTCAAAGACAGTACTGAATAGGGCTGATAAATCACTCTCTCACAGTCCATCAATCTCTTCGGTCACATTGTCATGCTCAGCCACACGATGGCAGCATTGCGTGAACTTCTTCCTATACTTCCTCCTCTCTTGGTAGAGTCTACAATATGACAGTATTGCAGCTGGAGAGGGATAACTCTGGAAACAAAACAAAAAATCAGAAGGAGCCGTTTAAGGTTTTGTAAGGCACCATCTGATGGGCCGGGAAGAAAAGCATCTGAGGAACGTTCAGATCTTTGCAGCGTGAAAAGGGGGCGTGCATAAGCGCACCGACGTGCCTACCGTCCCTGTCCTATTGTTTCTCTTATTCTTTTATTTTTCTTATATGTACCCATTTCATGTATCCACAACTATGTATACACTTATACTTACTATCTTGTAAACAACTGGCAAATCAAATAAATAAATAAAAAAATAAAAAATAAATAAAACTGGGGATCTGAGCTTAGCAGGTAGATGATCAGTTTTACCCCTATATCTAGCATGCTGCAATATTTGGTTTGAGCCAGGTCGACCAGTCTAATCTCAGGTAATGGATATCCAAATTAGAAAACCCCTTCTCTATTCATAGGCAGTGGCATATTTTTGAATTCGGCCGTTCCCTATTGTTGAAATAAAAATCCAGTTTTGTCCACAAGCATTCTGCTTTTCCATGAATAGGAAAAAGACATGTTCTGTTATTCACACCTCTCTTTGTTCCTTAGAATATTCTAAATTATTTTAAGAAACAAGGAGAGCAGAGGTGGGTATTCAGCCGGTTCTGACCAGTTCTGGAGAACCGGTAGCAGAAATTTTGAGTAGTTAGGAGAACCGGCAAATACCGCCTCTGACTGGCCCCACCAACCCCATCTATTCTCCCCCTCTGGAGTCCCAGCTGATCGGCTGGGTCTTCTTTGGTTGCCCTGCACAGGAGAACGGAGCTGGAAAGCAGGTTGGGGGGAGGAGGGAATGGGGATTTTGCAGTATCCTTCCCCTGCCAGGCCCACAAGCCACGCCACGCCCACAGAACCAGTAGTAAAAATAATTGAATCCCACCACGGAAGGAGAGGTGTAAATAATAGAACACGGCTACCTGGATGTCTGATAACAAAGTGATTCTAAGTTCTTGACTGTTCCAATCACCATCTAAAGAGCACCTTTCTCCAACCATGAGGCTTTCAAAGGAGTTGGGACTAGTATAGGATTTACAATTCCCAGCCAACACAATTGGGGGTTATTCTGGAAAGTCAATTTGGGGTAGTAGTTAAGGTGCTGGCATAGAAATCAGAAGCAGTGAATTATAGTCTTGCCATGGGCATGAAAACTGGCTGGGGGACTTTGAGCCACTAAGCAGGAAGTGGTGAGTTCTACTCAGTAGTAGGGTTTCCATAAATTTTTCCTACTGATTCTATCATGAGAGCGTGCTTCATTCTGTGGGAGGCAGAGATCATGGGCTGCTTAGGACGTGTTCATTATTACTCTGGGATTAAGAAGAAAGACAGAAACCTGGTCCATTAGCAAAGGGGAGGGTGGGGTGGGGGCTCATTCAGTCAACCTTTTGTTTTGTTGGAAGTTAAAACCCACCCCTCTCCTGGGAAAATGAAATATTTTAGGATATACTAAAAAGACAGAATATTTCCCCTAAAAAGAAAAGTAGAAACTCAGAGGCAGAAACTCAGCCCCCCACCCCACCCTCCCCTTTGGTAATGGACCATTACTCTGGCCTGGGCCAGTCTATTTTACATAACCAAGATCTACTCCAGGTAGAGCTAAAGTAGGAATTGCCCAAAGCGCCCTTTTCATTACATCATCATCCAGCAAGGCTCAACCAAGCCTGGGACTCAGCCTACCCAGTTGCCCCTGCATGGCCCCATGGGAGTCTGACAAGCAATCCGAATGCAAGCTCAAATTTAAATCCCAACAGAGGGTATAAAACAATTGCGCTCTCAGCATATCAGCCCTTCTTTTCCTTCACCCAACATCTTGAAGCATGTGGTCGTCCTTTTCACTTTGGAGCTCCAAGCCATGGGGTCCTGTCCACCATTAAACCATCTTTCCAAACAGCCTCCATGTTTCCAGTGTCTTTTCCCCCACTTGGAACCGAACCCAGAAGGACATTTCTTCCAACAGTTTGTTGCTTATCTAGGTTTCTGTCTTTCTGACTGGATTGCCAAATTTGCTTTTCTAAAAGCTGGCCTCCTCACTTCCTGCTTGGGGCAGGGAAGCTGAGTTTCTGCCTCCCTTTAGGGGAAATATTTTATCCTGCCTTTTTTTTTAATATTTCCCCAAATATTTCATTCTTCCAGGAGGGGGAGGCTTCCTACAAAAAAAAAAAAAAAAGCTGAATCTTGATTTCCAAAGATTCGCCTTCTTCTTTTTTCCCCCTGAGTGGATCAGATCAAAGTAAATATTTGTACATCAGAACAAGAAGTTCTTCTGAAGCTGCCATCTCAACCACAATCCTTCCCAAGTCATTCATTCCATGAGAATGCAAAGGTCAGCTCCCTTCAAGCGTTGCATTGCTCAAAGCTTCGTCATCTATATTCATAAATACAGAGATAGAAGGCAGTGTGTTTTTCTTAACGGGACTTTTATTTTTAGGCAAAGAATTTTACCATCAGTCATGCCTTTGGTAGAATCACAGCCTCTGTTAGAGCCTATCATTTCCTTGCACAGAATGCTTGCACAGAATCAATGAAATGGAGACTGATAGACTCCCCAAGATATGTCTGCTGGAGCAATTAAAATCTCAGTCACAAATCTCTTGGATCACTAAACTAACACATTTTGCAAGACGCTGTGGCCTTCCTGTCTCTTGCATAACAGGAGAACAATTTTAAAAAAGAGCTGCCCAAAGAATTGAGGATATAGAAAGACAAAATGATACGGCTATCTTTAGTAAGGTGGGTAACTTGATCAGGCTGAGCAAATACAAAAGTATTTTTCAAATAGACAGCTATTTGACGTTACAACTGCCAAAACCTCTTAGGGAGATATTTACACGAGCAAGATTCGAACAGTTCGACACAATGGTCAGATATGGGAATTCCTTTCTATATTCTACAATGGACGTCTCTGCATTTGCACCCTATTTGATTGTTGCCTGTATAAGAGGGTGAGAGACAGGTACCTCAGTCTATACACCAAACAAATGACCCATTGGGACCCCCATATCAAAATAACTTACCTGATGTGCAGCCAGAATCTGAAAATAACATTTAACACAGCACAGTACTTGAGCAAAATGGTTCGGTTGAGATCTGCATATGTGGGACCGATTGGGGTAGATTGCAGGGGTGACACCGAAATATAATTTTATCACATTCCATTTTAAGTTGCTTTTATCAAATTTCAGTAATAATGTCAACTCATAAAACATTTTGTATACGTGTTTTATAGTTGACAACAGAAAGGGGAGAGTTTCAAAGAGCAGGCAGCAGTGTGGAATCGAAAGTACATTCCATTCATATTTTCTTCAAAGACTGATTCGATGGCTGAAGCTTCTGCTGTGAAAAAAATCTAATTGGAGAGCATGATTGATGACTCTTGACTATGGACGTTTCTCCTTTGATGATGCACCCAGAGGGGTGGGAGGGAAAGCAGGATCAAGGGTTGGCTACTCCCAGGTTAGTGCCGGATGTAGAATGTTAACTTCAAATAAATCCTCTTTAGTTTTGGGAGTATGGCTTGAGGCTTATGATTTAATTGCAGTAACTGCCGGAATCCTGACAAAAAAATTTTTCCGGGGGGTGGGGGGATATTAGAAAAGGCAGAATATGGTATTTCCCCAAAGGAGAAATGGAGAAAAAACTTAACAGAGGTAGAAAGCAGCTCCAGTCTTCCTGCCTTAAGAAAACGGCTTCAAACGAAGAAGCTTGAAAAGACTGACTTTTAGGAATGCAGATTTTGTATCCGTTCAGAAAGACTGGGCCAATCTATTCATAAACAAAATGCCTTCAGGTACAGCTCACACCTAAGGCTGACGCTGATGGGATTAAGAATGAACACTACATCCCCCCACCCAAATTCTAAGGAGAAGGCATGGCCTTTAGGACATAATAGGATTTATCCATCATCATTAGAATAGCAAAAGACACAAGGCTCACTACATTGTACAACCCCCC